ATTCCGGGCCGGGACGAAAGAGCCTTTGAGCTCTTGACGTGGACAATTCCTATACGCGATTTCAAAGCAGACTCTCAGCACGGAATCAGCGGTTACAGCATCACAAGCAACCGAGATTGCGCTGTCGCGTCTTAAGTCACTGACGTTGTACATGCTAAAATAGATTCAACAAGCTTTAAGCGCGCTGCCAGGTCTTTTTTCGTGCGATGGAGTTGTCATGCAATGTTTATGCGTGTACGCATTCATATGTTTTTTTCCCTTATCACTTTCCGCTGTTTTCGACATACAGTTTTATCTCTCAGACTAATGACACGCAAAAACCACGTATGTATGTGGAGTGTCAGTTGATGTCAAATAAATAAAAGAATAAATAAATAGAACAATGTGAAAATACGCAGGTGATTGTGTCCGAAATACGTACGCGTTACGTCTTGCGTGTTGTGTCTACTACGCATTACAAGATATGCTTTTTGGCAAGCTTCTACCATGGACTATGTTATACTACAGCTATATTATCGTTGGGACGCAAGGCGATTTTGCGTGTCGGGGGTGAAGTACACCTACTATCCTAGGTTTTTATTACATAAAACTCACACTGTTTACGCATTGTTCGTGGCATATTCCTTAATCAGAATGCAAAAAAATCGTGCTCCTTCCAGACACTCAAAACTTAGAGCACAATATTTGAATATTTGCATGTCAATGACACAAAACATGTCACCCATATTCCAGGAAGCTGGCGATATGTTCTAGTTTAAGAAAGAGTATCCCGTCAAAAGTCCGCAAAATTGTAGCGGTTTGGCCGCTTTCTGCACCCACCACCAATTCAATATTTGCGTCATGACATGCCACTCGAGTGGCATTATGAGTTAGAAAACGCGCACAAGTTCTTTTTTGCGCTTGACCATTCACTGTGGGGTTCGACTCCACGCGGTGCCCACCCTTTCTGCCAGGATAAGAGGCGGGCGTCGCCGTATAGTCTCAGAAGCGCTTTAAAGCCCAATGACGCACATTCACGGTGTGGTTAACTACTAACAAGAAACAACTTTTTCGGATTTCGTTTTACGTAAATTATGTGATAGTGTGTGAAATAAGTGTCTTTTATACCAGATTCTTTAATACCACATTATTACCAGATTTAATACAAGATTACGATGTCTTTAACACCAGATGGTTAGTCCCTGCAAAACCCTAACTTATCTTTGTTTCAGAGAACTGTAAGGGTATCGGGAGACCAGTTTCGCGTTGTGAAGGCCGAACAAAATATAGCGGCGGTCCAGATTACTACTGGGGGACCCATCCCAACATCTGAAGGAAGCTCAAAATTGGGGGACCACGGCCCCCTAAAGCGATACAAAGTTCTACCCCTGGCATCTAGTGTAAGCCATAAGGTTCAGGGAGGCCATGGCCCCCGTGGTCTGCCATGACCATGCCCATGAGTAAGTATTTGCGTGCAAGCTGTTTAACACTCATAGATGACGTCGACACCCGTGCAATCCTATTCTATGCACTCGACACATCAGATAGAGATTAATCCGCTGTGGTTCGTGATTGCTTTGCTGCACAAAGAGCCGGCACCGTTGCCCTTGGCACAGCACCACCTCTAGCCTCCTAATTTTGTTCGCCTCTCAGTGATGCACAGCGAGTCTTAATTTTGTGTTCTAAAATGGTGGCGTATGTGTCCATTGGCAGTTCCCTGCCTGTGGATATGCTATATGCATCGTTGCACTGATTTAAGAAAGACCTTCAGACCCCAGTATTTCATGATGATGAACACAGCTCGAAAGACCTTCAGCTTGCTAAGAGGTACTGGTTAAAGGAACTGTTCCACACTTGTATGGGGTTTTGAGCTGGTACACACATTTATAAGATCATCCAGTACATTTACAGGCCTGCCTTTCTTGAAACTTAAATCTGCACATTTTATCTTTCCCACGTACGCTATATACACTGAAAGTATCTCCAAGCTTAGTGTCAAAACACTTCCCTGTTCACGCACGTTGTGAATGACACAGGTATCGGGGGGACGTGAAACTAAGTCGTAGATTGCCACGAAAGCTGAACCCGCCGTAAGCGTCAACTTCTTGGCAATCCGTGCCGCCGCCCGTGCTGTACGTCTGGTTAACATGTGTGCAAAGACGGATAGACGGGAAGACGTTCGCTCTTGATCACCTGTTTGTAGATGACTTTTATAGCTCCGTGGAACTTCAACTCTCAACACGCGATAGTTGGGGCTCAAATTGACCTCGCGAAGGTTTTCAGAATTATTTCCGAACGACGTAGCGTACCCGCGCAACATATTGCACAGCTGTAGAGAATTGAATAACGGATCGTTTGATGTAAAATCAGGTGTACCTTATATGGTCGCTGACCTACGGCAGGTCGAAGTCCGGCCATGGCTGTCAGCGACGGTCATTTCTAGGGAATCGTTCAATGCGATGCGACAACGGAGTATCGGACGAAGCCATACATATATGAGATAGCTTCTTAGGCAATAAACCAATACAAGCTAGAATTACAACTAACCTCACTCACCTAGGACCAGGTAGGAAGGTCAGAACGCGGTCAAAACTAACCTGCCTCAAGAGCTTAGCTTTATGAGGTTAGTTTCTGGTGTATATTTCGATTTTTTTAATGACAGGGAACGCAACAGTCATGTCCCATGGACTTGCTAAGTGTGAGAATACGTCACTCACCTAAAATGACCCAGGTCAACATTTTTGGGGAACGTGGCGCTTAGCATTATCCCTGACGCCTATAACAATGACAAATTGGAGTGATATCGTAGGTATTTGTTTAATTTGACCTTATAAAGGTTAAACAAGGTCAATGAGCTCAATGGCCTTTTGCTTAGAACGGGTATCTACTTTCGCGGCGGCCGCATAGGGAGTTTTGGGGGACTTACGACACCAATCTCGAGTTTGACCTTGTTTGACCTTTTTGACCATACGGTCTACCTAGAAACCTGAAATTTTGACACAAGTGAACTCTCACGTACAGGTACCCTATGAATTTGGTGTCTCTAGCTATGTTGGTTTTTGAGATCTCAGGGCGGAGGTGAACTGATTCCCACCCGAGCCAAGGGCATTCAGCCAGCCACCCCGGCGTGTGTCTAAACGCCAATCTGGATTTCTCGCCATAATTAAGTGCAAAACTAAGATTGTTTCACTCTTATCTTCCGCATGTTGACAACAATCGCGTGACCAACTATTTGATGAGGTATGTTTTGCGCCTACCATCACTTTGCAATGCACTCCGAAACGGTTGGCACTAGTTATACGGAGGTTTTGGCGCTCCTCCAAGTGTTCAAAACACGATGCGTAATCGTATCAGAGCTCGAAGCGTCTAAGCTTAGGTCGAAAGAACGTCATAATGGTGAATGACAAATTCTGGCCTTTTGTGTCATCCCAGCGTGCTTGCTCGGCGAGTGGTAGAGGTGTCGAGGTGCATGCTTTAAACCCCTAAATCTGGCTTGCTCCAGTATGCATCATCATGTCCACCAAATAGTGATTACATATAGTCTGATAGCTTGCGCGACTGCGGTGTGGACTGTAAAAAAACTCGGCACTACCTACTTCTCATTATCATATCTTACTGACATAATAATGGTACTCTTACGATATAGGTATATATATATATATATATATATATATATATATATATATATATATATATATATATGTGTGGTTTCTACAATTTAATACGAGCACAACAAATATCTGCAGGTCAAAAGGTCACCTAAAAAAGCACGCGACGGAACATCTTTAAAGCTCTTAATGGGAAAAATTAACAACTTAATAACTTGCGGGGGATGTGTGGATTCCATGACATTCAGTGAGGGCTTATTTTGATGAATATGAAGCGGTTCTGACATCATAAGACTGCGGGACAAACGCTAGCTAGCTAGAGGCTTGCCTGTTAAGTTTAATATCTGTCTGTTTCATCTGACTCCGCTTCGCCAGCGATCAAAGTCCTTGATTCACGAATGCGTCCAAACCGGTCTTCTGTTCATTTGTCCCATATCCTGTCCCACACAGGCCCAGAGGGTTAAACATGCAGGCTGCCGTGCTGTCGTGCTATGGAGCGAAGCGGGTGGCATTCAGTCAAGTTCGGAGCATGTGGCATATTGCCCACGTACTCGTGCCAAAACCGAATTTAATGAGCACGAATTACGTTGATTTGTGGCTCAATATTATGAGCTGCGGCGAATTATTTGTACAGCCCGCGCGCCTCTCCACAATGTCTTGATAGAAGCCCGCATCTTTTAAATATATGTTAGCTTCATTTGTGGTTTCATGTAGCATGCTTAAACTTTTTCAATCATTTCTGCAGCCTCATGCACGTCTTCCAAATGGGCTAAGATCACAGCAGGCCGGCGCCGATGTCGCCGCCCGTCAACCACTTATCTCATGTAAATGACATCGAATGGCTCATTGTATGGCGGGAGCAGACACCCTTGGGACCTCGTGACCTTAGCATGCATCGTATTAGTCGCCTCGCCTTCTCCCCCAGACAGGCTCCGTCCATCGTATTAGTCGCCTCGCCTTCTCACCCAGACAGGCTCCGTCCATCGTATAAGTCGCCTCGCCTTCTCACCCAGACAGGCTCCGTCCATCGTATTAGTCGCCTCGCCTTCTCCCCCAGACAAGCTCCGTGCATCGCATTAGTCGCCTCGCCTTCTCACCCAGACAGGCTCCGTCCATCGTATTAGTCGCCTCGCCTTCTCCCCCAGACAAGCTCCGTCCATCGTATAAGTCGCCTCGCCTTCTCACCCAGACAGGCTCCGTCCATCGTATTAGTCGCCTCGCCTTCTCACCCAGACAGGCTCCGTCAATCGTATTAGTCGCCTCGCCTTCTCACCCAGACAGGCTCCGTCAATCGTATTAGTCGCCTCGCCTTCTCACCCAGACAGGCTCCGTCCATCGAAGGGCACGTCACTACACGTGCAATAGCTTCTTAGTGGTAGAAATGCGAACCCGCACAAAAATACGTGCACTCACTTGAGCCGCTTTTTGGAAGACTGCTGTGCAGGATGTGCGGCCGTTTTCTCCCCGGCTGAGGGAGAGGTGGCCTCAGGTTCTGGTTCTGCCATGTGCACGTCACAACCCTGAAACAGCAATGGTCGTAAATATGCCACAGTTGAGGCGAAGGGCCTCCCATTTAGCCAGGCACACATGTGGCGAAGCACTGCACGCCACGATGACAGTGATAGGCCAGTGTAGAAGCAATGTAGACATGTATACAGAAAATAGCTTAACACAAACAGTCATTTTCCGTCGTTTTGAAGACAATGGCGATTCTGAATTAAGACTGGACAAAAAACCGCAGGTATTCTGACCAAGTTTTCTACATCTGTATGACTTCACCATATAAAGATGAACATGGTCAGGAATTTGCATCTTTGTCGTTTTCAAAATTTGCTTCTTCAAATATTGCTAAGCCTACGAGCACTCAGAAGCTTCGCCTTTCAGCAAACGGCCCCAAAGCAGCCGCACGCCATATCGCTGACATGACTACTGCAGTTCAATCCGGCGCACAAAACGCGGACAATCTCCGCGCTCATCACTTTCCGAGAGGCGCGCTCTCTCCTCACCGGCAGCGAGGCGCGGAGTCTTTTCGTTCCCTTTGTCTCAAAATCCTCCAGGTCGTCATCGCCCCAGCCTGCAACATCAAACAGCGATGCGTCGCTCGCCCGCGGAGCCGGGCTCTGATTCGGTCCGAGCCGACAAACACGCGCCGGTCGTGTCATCAGTGGCTCGGCTCGGAGCCGCGCCGAGCCGGCAGCGCCGCTCGGCCTCATTATTCCGCCGCGGGCCAAACAGCCGCCGGCGTCCGCGGCAGCCACTCCGCCGATTGCACGCTGAGGCCGACGGTAAACACCCGACGGCGGCGGCGGCGACGCGCCGTCGCCATGGCGACGGCCGGGCGCGTCACCGCCAGCGGCAATCGGTGCGCCGGCGGCGTCGGCGGCGGCGCCCGGCGCGCTCCTGCCGCTCGCCGCCTCCCCAGGCGCGCGGTCGGCCGTCTGGCGGTGGCTGTGGGCCTGCCCGTTCCTCTCCCCTCCCTCCCCGGCGGCGGCGCTGGCTCGCCTTTATCCGGGCGGCCCGCAGCGGGGCGGGGGAGGCGCCCGAGCCGGCTAATTCCGCCATCAAAGCGCGCACGACGGACCGGGTGGCACTCTGAGCCGCGTCTGCCGCCGCCGCCGCGCGCCGCATCGGAAACCGATACCGGCCGCCGGCGGTCGGAGCCGCCGCTCGAGGAGCGGCGAGCCGCCGCCGGCCGGTCAGAGGGCCGCTGCTGGCGGATCAGACGTGACGCCAGCGCCTGCCGCTGGAGGCGGCTCTGATTGTCCCGGCACAACGCGGTCCGCAGCCTTCGAACCCGTCGGATGGGGCGAGACAGGGAACAAAGTAGCGCAGAAACCGTCCAGTGTATGGTGGTGCAAGCGCCCAATATCACTAAATGTATGCTGTAAATACGTGGGATTAGACGCTAAGGCATGACACTTTGTAACGTGAATATATTTTAATATATTAAGTATTTAATTCCTATTCATGACACGGCTTTCACAGCGGAAGGCATCAGCTACTGTTCACCAAAAACAAAATAACATGAGATACAGTGCGGTTTAAAACACGTCTAATGGAACGTGCCTTTGCCCGGATGTGCACATCCCCCTCGCCATACACCCAGCCCCTCTCCAATGTATATACAAAGCGATGTCTGCATAAGCAGATGTCGAGCACGAAAAATTTGAGGTCCACATAACAATGCAAATATCAAGAACATGCTGCGTTGTATTACACCATCGAAACTGTTGAACGCCATCTTGCATTTGAGCCTACACATTGTGAAATACTGCATACACCTCCACCCATAAAAAGGTGCTGCTGACTGCAGTAAAACTGTGGCGGCCTAAGACTGCAGTAAAACTGTGCGGCCTAAGTCCCTTTCCAAGTAACTGCGCTGCATGATAGCACCAAGGTGCAGTTGAGAAACTAGCAGACGCATGTCAAAAAGCATGACAGCCAATATTCGCTCAGCTTCTGCGCCGCACTGAGCGTACATTCTGCTGTATGGATACAATGTACTGGACAAAGTGTGTTGATATGGCGACTCGCGTGCCTCGCTCCATTCGCAGGTTCCACAGGTGCAAGCCCCCGAACAACGCAGATGAGGGGCATCACTTAACCAAGCGTGAGCCTCTGGTCCGTAGGTGCTAAAGCACGTGCACGCACCGGCCCAGCTCGCCAGCGTGGCCGTCACGCGGCGTCCGTACGCCCTGCCCTACACACCTGCGGAGCTCCAGTCAGCCGGGGCCGGGGCCGGGGCCGGAGGAGGAGCCGGAGCCGGAGCCGGTGACCGGACGGCCGCGGGCGGAGCCGGCTCCGGAGGCAGCTCGGTCAGTGGCCGGCCGAGTCGGGCACCAGCACGCCCAGCCGCTGCTGCTCCAGCCGCTGCTGCTGGGCTGCCGCGCCGACACAGGCGGCGTCAGCAGGCGGCCGGCCAGGGCGCACACGCCGCCCGGGGTGTAGTGCTCCAGATGCACCCCAGGCGCCAGAGGTGGACGGCTAACGCATGGACATGATGCATTGATGCTAACCAGAAAACGACCTTTTGTTTGAAGCCATTTGATTGCGCAGTGGTTTGCAAGACTAGCCACTGGATTCAAGGAAGTTGTTGCTGCAGCGGGACGTTGAAACAAGAATATATAGAAAAATAGAATATGTAGTGCAAGTCAAGCAAGCATGAACGCATTTCTTAATGCTTGGCAGAAGATGTAGTGCAAGTCAAGCAAGCATGAACGCATTTCTTCGTTCTCGGCAGGCTGTCATTTCAATGATAAGACATGATATAAGTATCAGAACATGCATTAAAATTGTTAAATCCACCAACCCCAACATCGAAGCATTACGTCAGTCCACACACCATAAATCTGCTAAACAAGACACGACATGTGAGGATGAGACGAAACTGAGAACATACGGCCGATCAACTCACTCCGTTCTTCGATGTCAATTTTTCTGTTGTGCTCGTCCACCCTCGCTGGAAAAGGAAAACGTATCAGAACCGATCAAAAGGCTCAATCTGCCGACACGTGCTTATTACGGACAGAATCTCCAGGCAGGAGTCCAGTGGCATGCCAAAAGGACGTTGTTATGCTCAAAACATCCCGATGCAGCATGCGCAAAACGCAGAACAAAGCATCAGTGCCTATCGTTGCGCGGCGTGATAAGCAAACGAATGTGTCTCCGAGGTGCATGACTTCAGGTAGCATATAAACTACAAAACTGGTCAGTTCAGCTTGAGACAGAAATTTCCTGACCCATGTGACGTGTTTGGCATAAAAATCCGTCTAACGGGTGGGCAGGGGCTGCGCAGCGGGAGTGCCAGCTCGGTACCACGTGCTCGCCTACCACACCGACTATGAGAGTTCCGGTGATAACTTCGGTGTTTATGTACCTTGAAGGGTGCGGATTTGATTACAGCAGACCAGAAAAAAAGCACAGAAGCTTAAAAATCAAGCGAGCCACAAAATTTCATAATTTTCAAGCCATCATTCGAAGAGTGCAATCTTAGTTGACTGTGACGTGACAGAGGCAAGGGAATGCACTAAAAAAAATGGTGAGACAAACAATTTTAAGTAAAGTATTTCCATTAATCGCTACTGGAGCGGCATGTTCCATAGAAATTGGGCATAGCTCTGCTCCCCGGTCTCTTACCCCACCGTCACAATGTGCCTCCACACGTCTTTAAGACTGTGTTTGCGTTTAGCTCAATTGGCTATAACAGTAACTCTTTCTTCCACGAACGCCAGGCGCGCTGAAACTCACCACTGCATTCAAACAAGAAAAACAGGACGACGCCAAAGGAAAATATGGGCAGAGCGCACGGAACCAAGCCAGCAAACATGGCACAAACCGGCACGACTCATATGAACCAAGCAGGGCAGAACGGGCAGACGTCGGCCCGAGGCAGGGGCGATTCCAGGGTTTGCGACGGGGAGGGTCGCCTGAATTTGTGACGGGGGCTGCTTTTTAGCGAATGCATGCCTTTTTACAAGGTATGTAAATGTGGCATTCGTGCATACGGAATACATTGCACGCATTTTGTTTGCATTGCGAACAAACTATACTTGAGCTAATGGGTACAGAAGACAACATATCAATGTGCCATCGATGTCGGTTTGCTTTGGCGCGCCAAAAACTTTCCCAGCTGCGTACAGTACATACGCAGCCGGCTGTCTACCGATTTGATTTCTGGATTACTGCTCTTGGGCACATGTCAGCCCATGAAAGTCACCGAGATCAAAAACCTAAAAAGCTTCCTGATCACTAGATCTCGGAATTACTTCCATAGATTCATGGTAAAAAGCCACGCTCCCTCCTGAGAGGGGGTGGGACATGAGTCCACGATCCCCGCCCCCTTAGCTGGAGCACTGGACGACTGGCCGGGGGAGACGGGACCCATGTCGGCGGGGCGGCGTGGTGCGCCAAGCCGGCCGGCACAGCGCACCACGCTGGGGAGGAGGCCGACGCGGCGTCCCAGCCGTTCACGGCTGCTGGCTCCATTGAGCCGGCGGAGCGGCGACCCGCCGGCCCCGTAATGGCAGGGCGACAGGGGGGCGGCCGGCGCCAGTGGTCCGTGCCGAGCAGGGCAGGCCGGGGCGCCTTCGGCCGGACGCCGGAGCCGGCAACAGAGCGTCACAGACACTTCACATGCGGTGAGGTCGTGCTGAGCGTCCCCAGTGGTTCACAGTTTTACGTCAGGCCCGGCATGAGGCACGCAAGATTAAATCACTGAATGCAACACCACCGTTTTCAGCCATCTGATAATCCTCTGGAAACAACGGAACTGCACGGATCACCGCCAGCAAGCACGGATCACCACCTGTCCAGACCAACAGCCAGCCTGGTGAGGTGGAGAGCACCAGAACGGGAGGGCGGCGAGGCCACGGTCTACGTGTGCTGGCGGCCGGACAGCGACCGTCACCAGCCGTCACGAGCTCTAAGGCGCCGCAGCCCGTCACCCGTGTCCCAGGGATGTCGGCCAGGCCGGCTGTGTCGGGTTTGGCGACAGTCTGGCGCCTGCCCACCAGCGGGCGGCGTTCAGCGACGGACCTCCGGGGCCGGCGCGCCGCTGCGGTCCGCGCCGACCGCGCTGCCCGCCCGCCCGCAGCCTCTCGGTATAAGTGGCTGGACGTATATGGGCCGGCGGCGGAACATAAGCCGGGATGAAAGGGCCGCCGCGTCCCGCCCCGGACGCGGCGGGCCGTCCCGTTCCGAGCCGTCCCGGCCGCCAGCGCCGCCCCGGTCGGGCCCGGCCCCGCGCGCGCCTCTTGCCGAGGCGTGACGGCCGACGCCAAGCGCCTCCCCGGCGACGCCATCGCCGTTGCCATGGAGACCCGCAAGCACGCCGCATTTGTTTATGTCTGTGCGGTTTGCTGTTGATTGCAGCGACGAGCGTGTGGTTTATAACGGACGCCGACCAGGCAGCAACCCTTAAGAGGTCGAGATGAAGAGTCGGGCGCCCGCTGCAGACAAGCAAATGCAGTGGCGTCAGCTACTGGGCTTCTGTGTTCAAATGTTTTCGCCCGCCGCGGGCGGTACTCAGAAATCGAGTGCACGTTTGTTTTGCTCATACCTACGCCTAGCAACGAA